TGAACCTTCTATTACTAAATAGTGTGACCAAGATTACAGATTAATCTAGATTCAACCAATAGAAAGCCGTCAACTATACATCATAAAAAGTTTTATTAGTAGCACATTATTAATTTCTATATAAATCTTATTGTACCACCAAAATCATATGACAAAATAATCTACATACTCTCTACTCTTAATATAGATGAGAATATATAAATATTATAAAATTATTTAATATAAAAAGAATTATTTGAACTAATCTAAACAGATTTAAGAATAGTTAGGGTTAGGGTAAGGGTTATAGTATAGTTTATAGTTAGCTTCAGATTAGGGTTAGAGTTTTTTTATATTAAATAATCTTATAATATTTATATATTCTAACCTATACTAAATAAGATCCATCAAAACACCTATGAAATAGAAGTTGCGCCAAAATTTTTCTTTAACTTTTATTGAAGTTATCTTGACAACCATTGAACCAAATTCTATAAACCTTTTTTTGTTAGAATTCTATAGATTCATAGAATTAGAATAAAAAATAATCATCAAATTAGTTAAGTGTTTGCTGAAATATCTTCGCTCAAATTTAATCAAAGATAACTTGACAACTATCAAACTAAATTCAATAGAATATGTTTATTTGAATTTTATAATTTCAAAAAATTTGAATAAAAAAATTTTCATCAGATTTGTCAAGTGTTTGCCAAAATATCTTTTTTCAAATTTAGAAAAAAAATCAAACACTTATCAAAATACCAAATTCTTTTAAAATTGAATGAAGATATCTTAACAACTATTAAACCAATTTATTAAATCTTTTATATTAGAATTTTATAGTTTTATAGAATTTGAATAAAAAAATTTTTGTCAAATTTAGTCAGGTGGTTGTTGAGATATCCCTTAAACCGTCAGGCTTAGTGGCCAAATATGGTCACTAAAATTTATAAACAGTTGCATCTGATCTAATTTTATTAAATATTAAAATATTTAAAAAAAATTTTATATAATAATATTTGAAAATAAGGATAACAAAATAATAATATTTATTTTTAAATTATAAGAAAAGAAAATATAGTTGCTTATATATTAAAAATATTAAAAATTTTAAAAATTTTTTTTAAAAAATAAAATTTATCTTTATTATTTGACTAACTTTTTAAAATTTTAAGCTTGCCCCCCTATAATCTTAGAACAGGATTATAGAATTAGTTTTTAAAAATAATTTTAATTAATAAAATTTTTATAAATTTTTAAATAAAATTCTGACTTTAATTAGAAGCAAAAAAGCTTTTTTAGTAGTTTTTACATATAAAACTTTGAAAATTTTAAAAATATTTTTATATAAAAAGCTCAAAATTGGCAAGATTCAAAAATTAATATCTTTAATAATATTAAAATTATTTTAAAATTTTTATTTATTATTAATTAATTATATGCTATATTTTTAGCTTAGAAATAGGGGGGTCAAGCTTGATAAAATTTTTAGTAATTATAAAAAAATATATAAAAAAATATTTTAGCAGCCAAATATGGCCGCTAGATAGTTTAAGGGTTACTTGCTCAAAGTTAGAGAAAAATTAAATGCCTATCAAAATAGAAGCTATGCCAAAATTTTCACTAATTTGAGCAAAGATATTTTGACAACTACTTGACTAAATTTGATGAAAATTTTTTATTCAAATTTTATGAATCTAGTTCAAATAAAAGGTTTTATTGAATTTGGTTTGGTGTGTGTCAAGATATCTTCATAAAAAAATTTTGCATAGCATCTATTTTGTTAACAAGTTTTGATTTTTCTTTAACTTTGAACGATGTTATCTCAATAACTACATGACTAAAATCGATGAAATTTTTTTTTATTCAAATTCTATGAATAAATAAGATTCTAATAAAAAAAAATTTATTGGATTTGATTTGATAGTCATCGAGATAAGTTTGCTCAAAGTTTTGAAAATTCTTAGGTAAATAATCATGTGATAGGTCACTTTGACCCGGGTCAAAATAGAATTGGCCATATATCACAATATAAAAAATTTACTTTGATTCCATTGATCATAATTCGCAATGCAGCTTCGACAAATATTGATGAAATCATGGCTGTTTGGGTTTATTAGTAGAGCCTATGGTGAAGTATTCATTATGAAAACCAATTTTATAATCAGAAATTTTTTTATGCTTTTTTGTTAAAATCTTTTTGCTGGTAAGAAAAATTTTCACTGTAAGTTTCTGTATAGACATAACATAACAAACATATTGAATATGAATTCTACGAAACTTTATTTTAAATGTGTAGACATTGTTGTATCGTTCAGAATATAATCGAAAAAAACACATGTATTATTTGTATTATTATATAGTAATCACGTTCGAAAGTTTGTCACTGGTTCAATGTTTGAAAAAAAAAACATCGATTTTGGATAAGTAGTTATTGAGATATCCTCATTCAAGCTAAAAAAAAAAAACTTTGCCACAGTCCTGATTCTTAACTTTTCTAAACTTTGGACGACAATATCTACCTGTTCAAAATCAATGAAAATTAATCCAAGATATGGAGGTATTACCGGATCGGAAAATAATGACCTGGACGGGTCAAATGTCGACCTGGGTTATAACCTGGGTCAACGGGTCATATGGATGATATATGATGTGTGCATATCTAAACATACCAACAAATATTTAAATCAGATCTTTTCGGAGTTTGTACCGTATAAGCGCCATATGCATGTTATTTTCGACATAAGAGTTTATTTTTTTGAATCCAATACCATCAATCTTTGGGGTCATCTAAAGCGGAGCAGAATCGTGTAAAATATGGTTAATCAAATTATAGAATTTGATAATACCCAGAGAAGCAAGACAAGAAATAAAAACGAAATCCGAAAATACAAAAAAACGCCAGTCTAAACCTACCTTGGATAAGTTAATTAAAAATGTCGGGAAGGCAATTCTGCTTATATATAATTGGTTTAGACCTAATTTATCTCTAATATAAGATGATTATAATCCTAAAGTTAATTCAATAAATATATATTATAATATCTACGAAGTCCCTCATAAATGTATGTATTTAGAAAAAAGTGCTCTTACGGAATGTGCTCTTATGGAATGTAATCTACAAATAACGTTACGTTACCAGTGTAAAAATTTCAGTTTGAAAAGTATGTGCGCACTCATATGATCACATGCTATCTTCATATAAAATAAGAAAATTTCATGTTCGATTCTCACATGCGCACACGATTTTTTACACTGTACGTTATCAAATGATGTGCACTAATAGAAAGAAGTGTATGTGAAGTGCACTTATGGAAAGAAAGTGCTTGTGAAGTGCACTTATAGAGGATGCACTTATGGAAGATCGGCTGTGTATCATTTTCCAACAATGATTATATGCTACTCCACGTTAATTCGGAACGCCTATGGATGCTAATTCGGGACCATATAAACTATTTTTGAAGGATTCGATTTTCAAAATAACGCCCACGAACGTTATTTCGCGCTTATACGGTATCAAAAATTTCTTCGAGCAATCCGAGTTTATTAGTCTTTATCAATGCTACTTGATCCAATTTTTGACTCATGATATATCAGAAACTGTCCCGTACTGTCTCTGTTAGAGCTTTAGTAAAATTGTAATCTATCAATATGATTATATAGGTACAATATATAATAAACATTAAAATATTACTTTAACAAATTTTGCCTATTTTAAATCCTGACCCGTTTTACCCGGGTTAGATTAATTTTCGATCCGTGACCCGTACGGGTCAACTGACCCGGTAATACCTATACCGAGATATTTCGCACAAAGTTTGAAAAAAACTTAGCCAGTCTGTTTTATAATCGCCTGCACTTATTCCAACTTTGAATGAGAATATCTTATTACATATCCAAATTCGATGTAATTTTTTTATTGTTGATTCTACTAATTCATAGGATTAATATAAAAAGTTTCATTAATTTTGAATACAGTAGGTAGTTATTGAAATTCCTTCGCTCAAAGTTCGAAAAAAACGCATGTCTATGAATATGAATTCTGAAAATGATTTACGACACGTGACCAGTCACTTTTTTTCGCCCATCACTGCACTGTAATGTTAAAATAAAAAAGGAAATATCTAAGATCTTATTCACCAACTAAGTACGTACGTACGTAATCCATTCTAATCGATTTGTTTTTCTAAAACCAGCAAGTAAACGTATGAGTAAACCAGTTAATTAATTAAATGCTAAAAATGGATAACGGTTGTTTATAAATAGCAAAGGACAATAAATTAGGTATTCATATAACGATATCGATAAATTTAGTAAAATTTGGTATAATTAGGGATGGAGAAGTTCGATTTTGATTAATTACGTAAATTTGAGTAATGCAGGATCTACATAAATTACAAGTTATATTAATAAACCAAATCAAACCCAGGTAAATACGATGCATGTGAAAGGGGAATCCAATCAATAGCTTGGATTTGTACAGAAACACTACATTTCATGCATCATATAATCATATGCTGCGCTCTTGGTAAAAATTACATATTAGAACTTGCGTCTAACCGATTACCCCACCTTCAATATATTACTTTTTTCACAAATTAAATTGACAATTAATTAGGGTTACGTTACACTGTAATTTACAAAAATGTAATGTATTATTAACATTTGATAATGGACTGGCACGTGATTATTGTACCAACATTACGAAAGCTTGGTCAGTGTTATTGGAGATCACTACGCTCGGAGCTACAATTTTGCATTCAAAAGTACATCATGTATAATAAAATTTAGACTACATTTTCACATGATATCAAAATTACGTAAAATTACGTTTTTTACAACCCTAATTTATTTATACTGATCTCAATGTATGATATATCTTCCAAGTAAAAATTTTACCACAACCGATCGGCTTGTACCTTTAAATTTTTTAGGGCATTAACCCTGATGTTTATGCTTAAAAGGCGGCTTTATCATTAAATTTCTGTTTTCTTACTAATATTTGATTTCCCTAACATAATATGGCCAGCATTTCAAATGATGATATTCCACCCACTGAACGTTCTACTTTATTGCATGGATCTAGATTATTTTTTGTTATGTTTGGGTTTGTAATTTCCATCAAAATTTCAAACTTTGTATAGTATAATTATTAAATTTGCAATTGGCAGTCTAGGTTGTTCTGTGTGTTTAGGCGCATTGGACCAAACAGTCGTTGCTACTTCTTCGCCTAAAATAGTTTCAGATTTCAATGCATTGAATCAAATCTCTTGGATTGCCGGAGCGTACTTACTTACAGAAGTATTATAATTAATTTTCATCAAAATTCCGCCGATGTGATATTCTTCACATTCAATTCTTTTATTAAGTCTCACTTTAATTAATATAGACCTCACTTCAACCAATTTATGGGAAGTTATCCAATATATTTGGTCGTAAAGTGACTATATTGTTCTCTGTTTTTGTTTTTGAGCTGGGCAGCCTACTATGTGGTTTTGCACAAAATATGGTAATTTTCTTTATTACTATATAACATTAACGTTAACAATTATTAAATTATGAATTTGAAAATTAATCAATATTTATAAGATTTCATTTATAATATTTCGTGCTATTGCTGGTGTTGGTGGCGGTGGAATCCTTATGTATGTATCTTACCGCATCGAATTATTTCAATCTGCATATAAATTAAATTGATTTAATTTTATCATTTTATTTTTGGTTTGTAGACTTGCTGATACTATCGTTACAGACATAGTTAGTGCTAAAGATGTTGGAAGGTACCAAAGTATTATCAATGCATTCTATGGTATTACTACCGTAGTCGGACCTATTTTGGGTGGTATATTTACAGATCATGTTAGTTGGAGGTATGTAATCAATTCTATATGCTTTATTTATTTATTTTGTAATTCTTCAAGTTTCTTATCAAAAATAGGTGGAGTTTTTTTATTAATTTACCTCTAGGGGCAATAACAATTATCACAGTGACTTTTAGTCTTCATTCCCCAAAACAAACCGCCCTTCTTAAGAATATCAAGAGACTCGATGTTACTGGTATTGCTATAATTATTGTATCAACAATTTGTATATTGCTACCTCTTAATTGGGGTGGTAATGCTTATGCCTGGAACAGTCCCATTATTATAGCACCCTTTTGTGTTGGCGTGGTTGGTTATGCTTTATTTGGCTTTGTTGAAAGTTATGTAGCTGTTGAGCCTATTGCTCCATGTAGGTATCTAATATAAGAACATTTTTCATATTTTATAATAACTAATTTATTAACTTATTTATGCAAATTTCTTGATAGCACATCTGTTCAAAAAGGTTCACATAATTTCATGTTTTTTAGTAGCCTTTTTGCACGGAATGTCATTCTATAGTTTTATTACATATGTACCTATCTACTTTCAAGCGGTAAAAGGTTATTCCGGTAAGCCACCCAAACGTTACCTCACAAAATTCCAATTTCCAAAGTTTAAAATCCTTTATATTATTAAAAGCTACCATGGCCGGAGTGGCATTAGCACCCTACGTTCTTGGATTTTCAGTAGCCACAGCCATAACGGGTCAACTATATTCTCGAACTGACAAAGTAACACATAGATTACTCTGCCTGATAGGTTCGGCTTTCATGACTATTAGTTTTGGATTAATCACAATGTGGAATGAAAATAGTGGTCCCGGTGAATTGATCGGATTCATAATCATAGCTGGATTAGGAGCTGGTATAATTTTTCAAGATGTTTTATTATGCTGTCAAGAGTCTATCGAGCATAAAGATATAGCTATTACCACCTCTTTACTAATGTTCTTCAATACCGGTGAGTATTTTTAAGTATTTCTTAAAAATTATAATATTATTAATTTATTCTATTGTTATTTCAGTCGGAGGTGTACTTGGAAACGCAATAATAGGGAATATATTTTACACCAAGCTTATTCAATTTTCGAGTTCATTAGCATTGCCACAAAGTTTTACACCACAATCTGTATACTGTATACAATTTTTACCAGCTGAAACACGGTCCTTGGTTATTCATGCTTATTCGATGGCATTGCATTCGTCCTTTATAGCTTTTATACCTATGTGTGGGTTAAGTTTCATTTTATCCTTGTTTATGGGAAATATAAAACCTTCATATAGTGAGGAAAATTTGGGCAGAGTAATTTAATTGTTTAACATATAATTATAAATAACTCGTATAATTTTTAGATATAGAAAAATTCGATAATTTTTAATAATATTATATGAAACTTGATTATACTATTACGTTTTTTTATGAAATTTGATTTGATTAGCTATTCAATAAAAACTCTAATTTGCCAATATTAAAAGAACTAACGTTAACTTTCGTTATTTCCAAAGATTTGTCCCTGATATTTTATAGTATTTAGTGAAACAATCAATTTTCTTTTGCTCATGTGAAGTTCGAATCGTTCATTCAAATTTTCATTAAATAATGCAAGTTAAAATACATAATATTGATATCGTACTACAAGCATTTAAAAAACCATACAAAATTCCAGACTTTGATTATTATAAAAATTTCGATAACGCTACTTTAAAATTTTCTATAATAAAAAACTTGCGTAACAATATTTTGGTAATATAAAGGTATCTGATATCTCTATTTGAATCCAAGTTATATCCGGCTATGATATATTTTTATAAGTGGAACGCAATGTTGGCATTGGCCATATGTAGGATGGTAAAAATCATGATTTAAATCATTTGAACTTTATTACGTAATTAAAGACAAGTGCCAGCTGAATTAACAAAAACACCTTGCCAAATTTCTTCTACATTTTGAACCTGCAAACCAAAATATGCAATCTTTTAAAGTAATAAGATCTAATGAATTCTTTTTTATCATGTAACCCATTTTACATTTATTAAATAATCCTTTAAACGATTATTAAGCCGGGGTATCCTCTTCACAGTGGATACACATTTGACGAGGAGTTTTCGACCCAAATGAAATTACCAAAATCTTATAACATGTGATCTCGAAATAAGCAAAGTATCTAAAAAAAAAAAAAAAAAAAAGAATAAAGTGAAGATATTAGTATTCAGGTTTAACAAGTAACCGCACAATAAAGTTAAAAGAGACTTAGTAAAGGCCAGGCTTGAAAAGATTTAGACTACAATTCACTATGCCTCGATTGACACCTATCATTTTTGGAATTTCGGTGTTGTTATCATATAGATTGTTGTAGTTGGATAAAAGAATATTTAAATTCGCTAACGAATTTTTTTTACATTTTTGATGCATATATAAGGGCAAAAATTAATATAATAAAAGTAAAAGAGAGTGCTCGCGTATTAAATTAAAATTTCAATCGAAAAGTTCGAACTAAATCAAGTTGACTATAACAAATTGCACTATTTTTATTCGACATCTTATTAATATTAACTATTGGATATTGATATACATGGAAATTGCATTAGTGTCTACGGATATTGATCTTTTTCTAAATCTCTTCAGAAAAAATTTTTTAGTGCTGTTCTGCGCAGATTTGCAAAAAAATTAAATAATAAATTAAACGAAAATCTGTGCAAAACTTCAAACTCACCAGCTATAACTACAGAAATTAAATACAATTCTGTGCAAAATTTCAAAATATAAAAAAATTTGCAGTTTTTTGCAAAAAAATCCGCAAAATCTGCATTTTCGCAGATTTGTATTTATTTAATTTTCCTGATGCTGTTCTAAATCTTTCAATTATTAAAACATTTTCTGAACACAAAAAGGACATAAAAAAATTTAACAGAGACTAGAAACGTCTTTCCTTTTATTTCAAGATCAACGACGACATTTTAATCATTAAATTAAAATTAATCAAGAAAAATTCATTGAAGAATTTAAGCAAAATAGATGCATTGCAACTGAAATTTCTCTGGATAATAGTGAATTATCAATTATTGACCGTGCTCTGCTCATGCCTTTAGAATATTTTTGGTGGGAATTGAATCAGCAGATAAATTAATCTTTAAAAAAAAATTAGTTAGAATATTATATTCTAATAGAAGGGAAAACCCATCATTTCAGATCGATAACTAGAAAGCATAAAGTATTTATGTATATATCTTGTGACATTATAACAGCTATACATACATTTGATGGAGATAAAATTTATTTTATACCAACGCCATTCAGTCAATGGGCAATTAAACTTATTAACAAAGACCGTGATTTGTCTAAGCTTGAGTTAATTAGAATTAAAATGGATATTGATGTTTTTTTTAAAGATTTCAATGATTAGACTCATGAGTATTAAGTCAATATCATTTTATTACCAAGTTGGTTTTAATATCCTATAAAAATAATTTATATTTTGTTACTATTAATATTTTAAAATTTTTACAAATAAATATTAAATTATTTAAATTATTAATTCATTTAATAAATTCTTTGTAAACTTAAATATTGTTAAGCTTGAATTATTTAGAAAACCTATAACTGCGATATATAATATCATGTGTTAATGTTTGAAATTTATCCTCGGAGTTCTTATGAGAACTCATAGTAGGATTCGTATAAGTACTTTAAAATGTATAAATCTTTTAAAATTAGTCCAATCATATGAAAGTCTTCTTATGACATGAGAACACTATATTAATTTGTGCATAGTATATATTTTTTTACTGTTCATTATTAGAAATTTGTTAAGAACAGTAAAAATAATAATACTGTTTTCATAAATATGTATAATAAATAGCTGCATAGCTTAGTAAAATATTTTTTTTACTATGTAAAGCTCAACTCAATGTACTATCATAATCTTAATTTCGCACATTTTTCTAAATTTATAAAAATTTTAATATTAGTGTGGTAAGATATTTCTTCTTAGATTGCTTTATCAGCATTATTAAGAAATAACAACTGTGCAATAACAAAATAAATTTCATATTCACATAGTTTCTAATTGTTTATTAAATTGTATATTTCATCACCTTAATAGCAACGTTCACCATAACAGATAAACACAACGAGTTTGTTTTTATTTGCTTTTGTTGGTTAACTTAATGCTACGTTATACGTATTTTGTTCCTGAAAAGACTAGAACACCTATTATAATTGGGCTGGAGCGGAGGGGAGCGGAGTGGAAGACCTTCAAGTCATACTCTATGGAATTTTGTCGATGTCCGGCTCCCGCCCCTGCAGTTGTGATATCGATGATCCCCTGTAGAACTTTAATCAGTGATCCGATCATTGAATCGAAAAGCATTGCACGCATGTTATACATATTAATTGGAGCATCTAGCTAATTATGCTAGATATTAACTTTATTG